TGCAAAACTCATTCACGGTAGGGGGCGCTGCTTCTACAAACTTGTTGTATGCAAACCATGTTCAGTACATGTTTGCATGGAAGAACCTCAAGGCAGCCGATGCAGAGTGCCATAGAGGCAACTCGACCCAGCCTGCGCCCCGTAGGAGCCTTGCTCCTCCTGGGATTTCGGACCTCGGCCGTTTCAGCTTCATGAAAAAGTTGGCAGTCGTTGGATACATGGTGTTTGTTGTATTGGCCCTACATGTTCATGGTTCATTTGTTGGGTTATGTTGAGTTCAATATTTTTCACCATTCTGGAAGTTACCTTGGACTCGTCCGCTGCGAAGCTCAAGTCACCTGTGAGCCCAAGGGAGCAACCCGAGTTGACTTCGACCCCTAGAACCAGTCAAAATAATGGGCCACCCAGCCACACCTTGAGTCTTGTGCCTGGCGAGTTGCTTTGAGCAATGCAGGGGCTTGGTCTCCAAAAGCCAACCAACCCCCCAAAAAGCCCACGCCCCCGAAATGAGTGTTTCCGGATTCCAGTCGACATTTGCAACAGCATATATGTATACATAGGGGCACGTTTAAAATGACGGTTGTCCTGTCGGTTTCTCTTTGAACCAACCCAGTAGATCCCAGTTCCTTGTATAGTTAACCAGCCATTAGCCTCTTAGCCTTATTTAGGGTTCCTTGGTTGCCTAGCACCCACTTCCCAAACTGGATCAAACTGCTGAAATTGTCCAAACCCACGCGACTAAAGTCCAACTCGGGGAGTGAAGAAACCGAAGCTGAGAAGGACATCGGAAGCTTGGGGTCGAAGCCATCTGCCAATGCGCGCAGTGCTACCACTGCCTGGCCGTCAGTGGCTCCGGTTGTCACGAACCCCAAGCCCCAGAAGGAGGAACCCCACTAGCCCCTTATAGGCCTTATTGTAGCTGTTCACCCCTGTTGAAATTTGGGGCCCGTATTGGGACAACCATAGCACAGCGATTCCATGGACCCAACTGGAATGCCATGCGGCCCCAGAATCCAAGCTTTTGTTTTTCTTTCCTGGACCTTGGGTCGTTTCACCCAAAGACTGGCGAAACACATGGCATCCCACACCAGCGGCGCCTCCACCACCAGGGCCCTGCGAGGCTCGCCGGGGTGCCGCGCCGCGGAGCACAGGACCGCCTCAGACGCTTTGGCGTTTGGAAACCAAGTCCAACCAAAGCCAGTGGATGGCGGCTTGGTTTATTTGGATGATTGGTTGGTTTGTGGGTGGGTGGGTTGGTTGATTGGTTGACTTGGTTGGTTTTTGGTTGGTGGTTGGTGGATAATGGGTTGTTTGGTTGCTTGCTTCCTTGCTGGCTTGCTTGCTTGTTGAATTGGATGGTTGGTTGTTAATTTTGCTTGGTTGGTTGGTTTGTTGGTTAATGGTTAGTTGGATGGTTGTTTGGAAGGTTGCTTGCTTGCTTGCTTTTGTCTGGTTGAAACCAACCAACTCACCAGTGATTCCATTTCCAGCATGTTCAATTCCCCTTTAAGTCCTGCCTCCTAAGAGATTCCAAGGGTCAAAGCCCGGGTGGAAGCCACCGACCCATTCCTTCGCCGAAACGCAGCCGACTCACCTCGAAGTAAACCTTTCCGAGGCAACGGCTCCCAGGTGTGGCAGCAGCCTACGATGCGAGTCCAGCCAGTTGCAACCAGTGACGCGAGGTTTACCCTCTGACCCAACAATGGACGTGGACGTTTTGGGGCTTCTCAAAAAGGAAAGCGGTGTGTTGTTTTTTCCAACAACCCTTCCGTCAGCTTCTACATTGCTGAATATTCCAACTTTGGTGTCCGTTTAACTTTCCAGACTGTGGAAAGCATGCAGAGGGCAGCCATCCAGCGGCACGTACACTGAAAAGCAAGCAAGCAAGCCAGAAGCAGGAGCTGGATCTTCTTGCAGTTCCATTCGCCGATTTCAGGCGAAAGAATGGGGCCACTGGTTGGCCGGGAACCGTGAAGCATCGCTCCCATGTTCTGATGTGGCTGTTGTCAAAACACAATGGGATCCCATTTTGGTTGGGAGAGAGGTGAATTCACCACCTATTTTAGAACCTATTTTAGTCCATTGTAGTGGGGATAAAACGGTTTTGGATCCCATTTTGCTTAAGACTTGTGAATTCACCACCTATTTTAGAACCTATTTTAGTGGTTGGATTGAATCGGTCCCGTTCACTGGGGGTAACCGATTTGTATTTTGACCCATAGCCATGCGGCACTCCTTATGTGGGAGACCGCTTCCTGTTGATCCTAAACTCACCTCAACGGGCTGCCCTCAAGAAAAGACACGCCCATAAAATTGTGGCGGTGGATGGGGTTGGCGTGGATGTTGGCCCCAAGTGTCTCGAAGCGCAAGAATTGCGGCCGGCGCAAGCCTTGAACACAAAAACCCCTCGCAAATCAATCTTTTCTTAGGCTAGGCAACAGCCTTCATGGGAGATCATCTGGTAAGTTCTCCTCTGAGTGTTTCTCAAAATGGGATTCGGACCACCCTTTTGTTGGTCTTAAAGGCAAGCCAACAGGAAACCAGGCACTCTAGGAGGCCGATTTTCATTTCGAGAAAACCCTGAAGTGAAACCTGGTATTAACATGGTCTACCCTTAAGAGAAACCCTGGCCAGTTCTCCGCGAGACTGAGGCAGCGATGATGCGCCGATGGTCAAAGCAGGGTGTGCTCAGAGCACGTTGCTCTCCGGTCTCGCTTTAAAGAAAGCTCGAGAAGATGTCTGATTTTTGACGATGTCCTAGGACCTTGCACGCTTTGGGAAGAAAAAAACACCTAAAAAAACAAACAACCACACACACACACACCCGCTGGGTATTGGATGGCTGTAGTAATTTGTGGCTTGCAGCTACAATCATCTGAAGAACTTACATCAATTGTCAAAACCGGGCCACCCCAAGAATCGTGCCAAAAAGAAACACAGACGGGCTCTCAAATCCACATCCCAAAGCTTCAGGCGTCACGTGCGCCATCTTTCAGGGGACTTTCAGCCATTCGAAAGCCACCCGTTTGACGTCAACCCAGCTTGGCTCGAGAAAAGACCAACCCAAAAAAACAAGCGAACAAGACAATAACAACAGCAAAAACAACACGAAAACCCAAAAAAACAAAAAGGTCTGCCGGCGCCTCTGAACCGGATTCATAGTTCCAGACCTCGCGGGTTTCAACGTTTCAACCCCTAGCTTCAAAAGATGCCTGAGCTCCAGTCTTGATATTTCTCTCGACTTGTATCGGTATGGATTCGAATTGGGGACTCCAATTTGTGGGCATCATGGGTACATATTCATCCCCACCAGCCACCTCAAAGGTGGTTCCGTATATAAAGGAAGAAAAAAACTGGCAGTATGCCTAAATGACCCAACTAACTTCCGACATCGAGTCGTTTCTGGTTGGAACCGCCTAAGACCGACGCAGGAAGAAGCGTGACGTGTGTTTGACATGGCCACGCAATGCGCATAAGACCCTTCTCCCCTCATCCACCCTAGAACCCTTATCACCAGGGGCCGCATCTTGTTAAACCGACAACATACATTTCAAGCGCAGTGGCACTTGCAATTCGTAATCGCAACTGCACTTCTGCTTTTCAACCTTGAACTGCAATTGTGAGACACATGTCGTTTGTGCTGCTTCTATGTGCGCATTACGACGCTGGCGTTTGTGCCTGGGAAGGGGCTAGGAACCCCAGAAACCCAATGTTGTCTTGGGAAATATCTGCCTAGAGTCTCCATGACCCTGAAAAATGTGTCCATGACCCTTATTTGTTGGGTAATGACCCCATTGTTTAAGGGTCAGAAGGAGACTCCAGGTATTTCCGCAGGTTGTAGTTGAAGTTTCATTTACCAGGGCAACCCATTTTGGGTTCAGATTTTTCACCCACAGCCACTTGTAGAGTATGGTTCTAGTGATGATTCAGAAACTCCGATCACCCTGCTTGAGGTCCAGCATGTCAAGTCCTGACAGAATGGGACGTCAACATCTTCGCTTTCAAGACCCCGCGGTTGCGCCCGAATGCATAGCTTGGGAGTGTCTTGCTTTCACAATTTGATGGTAGCCTTGTAGGGTCGATTGCAAAGCAAAACCAAAGGAAAAGCAAACTCAGTTTGGGGAAAAAGCACCCGTATTGTTGAATCTTTAGAGTGAAGCCGAAGAGAAAATCCGAAACCAACCACCTGGAGGGCGCACATGTGGCCATGGTATCCCGTTTGGTTTCCAGTTAAAACCACAAGGGACATACCCTGTGGGGTTACACTTTTCCGGGGTTGCCCTTTGAGAACCAGAAGGGTGGCTCGTTCCTTTTTGGAGGCCCACCCTCACAATTGCGGGTTTACAGAAAAGCAAAAGGATTTCTTGGGCCCTTCAAAAACTGAATTGAGACCAAACTCATTCCCAACTAAGACCGCCACAGCGCCGACTTCTGTGAGGGCCGCAGAAGTTCGAACTGCTTCGGCCAAAGCCTCAGCACTCCATCCGTCGGCTGGACCAAAGCTTTGATGGACACCCCAAAGTTTTGTTGGACACCCAATGGTTGAACGCACCCAATCATGTTGAGGACATATCATATTTTCAGGATAGTTTGAGGGAGCGGGGTTTGTGCTACACCATCTTTGAGCGTGTGTTCTCACACATTGCAATTGATAGACCCCGGATTGAAGTGGAACCTGCGATCGAATTTCCAGTTGGGGGGGGGGGGGGGGTCCGGAAAAGAGAGGCATGGATCTCGAGGACGCAACCCAGGATTGATTCTGCAGTACCAAAGTGGGCCGTAAAGCCCAGAAGATTCCAAGGGGGCCCAAATCTTTGGTTCAGCTTTCACATCCTGGGTATGGTTTTCTTGTTGCAAACCTTGCACAAACACAACGGTGTCTCATTTGCCTCCGGCACAGGTCTCGCCAGGGCTGGGACTCGCTGAGCTGAGCCAACTGTGGAAGCAAGTGCCGCATCATCAGCAGCAGTAAGCTCCTGAGGATGCGTCCGGCTCTTGAAAACTAGGCTGGAAGAATCGGACCCCAGCAAAAATATATTTCTTTTTTGGCTGGTTAGTGGAAAACAAAGGGAACCCAAAAAAACAAAACAACAAAACAAAAAGAAGGGGAGCTAATTCTGGGGAAGAAAACTGGTCTTGTTTGCTTGGCGGCCCTTCAAAACAACCCTAAATGGTGCTGCGAATTTAGGGAGCATGTCAGAAATCGTTCGGCGGTCTGCGACTGGCAAAGGTCGCCCAAAATCTTGCCGGCTCTTAGTATAGCTTAATTTCAGGGCTTTGTGGGAAGGAAGCGGAAGGGGCTCACATCAAATGAAACCACCAGGGATGTTGCAGTTCAAAGTCATTCCGAGCAACCCATGAAAGTCACATATCCAAATTTCCCTGGGCTCATTTTCGTGACATCCGAACCACTCTCTGAACGGGGGGGAAAGGGAACCCGCCGGGACCCAAAAACGTCATTGTTCAGAACAGGTCCCTCAAAATGCCCAAGGGACGTTAAGAGGAACCTGAGAAGTTGCCACAAAAAGAGAAACCTGTGACCTGTGGGTCAAAAATAGATACCCCAAATGGAACCTTGCCCTGGTAAATGGACACATGGACGACTAAAACCTGCGGTCCAATTGGTGTCATTTTGACCCACACCCCTGTGAGGCCCGCACTTTTGCTCAGCCGCTGAACTGGAAGTCACCAGAAAGAAGCCAGGCTCCTCCTGCCAGTGAGATGGCGATGATTTGTGGCTCTTGTTTTCTTTTTGGAGGCGAACATGTACCCCAAAAAGAACGCCAAATATCATTTATACGTACTTGGTGTACCCCAAAACTGTACCCCAAAAGCTGGTATGGCTCTCTTCCTTTCACCTGTTGAGCCATATATCATTAAAACGTACTTTCCCCTCGGCTCAAACAATAAACATGGGGAAACCCATATGAGCCAGAGTCAATATTCCTTGTGTCCCATTGGATGTTGGTGAGCAAACTCATATTCGAATGGTAAATTGGTGACTCTGCCCAATGTTCGCTCCCCCCCCTGGCAGAACTGATGGCAACCATAGGCCATAGGTGTCGCAAAATTGCTGGTTTACCTTTAGTCCGCTCTGTAGCCACCCCATTAGATTGATACCCTCAAACAAGATTGGTTGTTGTTTTTTTCACTCCTTCTTGTAGAGGGTACATGGGGAACCGCCCCACCTCCACAAGCTGATATTGACTGCTCGTCTCTCTTTCCCTTTTCACTTCCTGAGTGGACTGGCCCAAAAAGTAACCAACCTTTTATTTATCACCAAAGTGGTCCACCCGAAAAGTGACTGAAGTTCAGGCACGGAACTCAGAAAGTGAGTAAACCCAATTGACCACTATCAAAGTCCACCCCCTGCCCCAACTAACAGGTTTCTGACTTTGATAACCCCCAGACACCGTCCAACTAATGACCCCAGCGCCGGGAAGTTGAGACACATGTGACGCAGGGATGGGGAGACAAGTCTGACACTGCTCATAGACTTCATCCTGAAGCCTTCAACTGTGCAAATCATCTGAATCTAAGTAGATCCCAAAAAGAATCCTATCTAAGTAGACCGCCAGGACACAGCCAAACTCATGACCGCTTGCACGACAATGCCGACATGCGCCACTCCGGCGCTTATGCCCGACAGTAGAAACGAAACCAAAATCACGAAACCCCAGTTCTTTGCCCCGAAGGTTCCTTCGGCTCTGCCGCCAACGCCAAAGGCGGCTTCAGAAGCAGCGCGCTCAGCCCCGGGATGCGCAGCAGGAGGCTGTCAAGGACCTGGAGCCGAGAAGAATCTCAGGTTCCATATATACATATATATATATATATACGAGCCATATATATATATATAATGTGTATGGTAGATTATACTGTTTTTTTTTGGATGCATCCATATATATATATATATACATAGTTGTATATAGATATATTGTGTATGTATATATATAATCTAATCAGGAAAGAAACACTTTGTTCCTTGTTGTTGATGTTGAGCATAAGCCATTGTTTTGTGCTAACAAACAAAACACAGCTGGAATCCTAGCTTGGTCTTTTGGTTCAGGTTCCTACGAACCCCTTGCCTGATGGACCGAATCCGATGAATCATTTGAGGGGATCCGGTAGAGATCCAAAGCAAATATGTGGATTCCAAAAATTACAGGGGCAACACTGACCAGCTAAAACCAACCCTTTGAGGGAACCAGCTCCACAATAGTCTTTGCAAAATCAGATGGCGGTCAAAAGCAGAAACAAAACCTGGCTGTCCATAAGATGGGATATGTCCAAATGTTGGGGATGTGTTATGTATACGGGATATTTATGATATGTCACTGTGTCATACCAAACTACTTCTTTGGCAGAATAAAGCCGAAAGAACCTTATGGGTTCGTGGTTGGAATCAGCGGACCAACGTCGACTCGGACTTGGATAAAGGGCATGATTCAAACAGAAGCGCCGAGCCCCAATAAACCAGAAGGCCCAAGGGCCAACCGAAAT